CAAAAACTGCTCGCTCAATGTGATGCGGTCAACTTCTGGACTAAAGGACACGACTCTGTGAGGTTCCTGAGTACTGTAGCCGTAATGCTCCAACAATCCATCAAGTGGTGTGGCTTCATAGTTTACCAAAGTCGTACTAAAACATTTTGACAGATTTATGAGCGCCGTGTACCACATAAAATCAGTTCGAGGTCAGTAAGCACAACCTGAATTAATACATAAGACGCACCGATTGTAAGACACACTGTCGACTTTTGAGAAAATTAAAGGATTTTAAGTGTGAATTTAATGTCATACTGTGGAACATTCCAGGTAGGGAAATGACATATCCATAGAAACAAGAAGGTGACGGACCAAAACAAAGCAGCATGTGCTCGTTGGAGAATCCTTAGTCTTAGTCTTAGCTGTTGATCAAAAATGAGTGAGTTGACGTCCAAACACATGTCTGATATTTTCCTGGATGTTTCTTGCCCAGTGCAGCTGAACGCTTCTCCTAACCTATGTTTAATGTAAATTGAACTGTGCAGTCATGCAGTTCCCAGATTTACATGCACATTTTAAAATTCTGTGTAGATTTCACTAGCTTTTCCCGGCACGCATGTAAACGTAGCAGACCAGAGCGAGGTACACGTGGCTCTGCATGTACAAAGCATGGGCCCTGTGTATTCCCTGTGGTCTCACTCCTGCTCTCATTTGTTCTAATCATAAGCATGACTTTCACGCCTATTAATGCTGCTGCGTGTCCATATGTGAATCCTTGTGCTCTCCTCTATCCAGTACAATGCAGAAATAAAGACCAAATACTAGCTCTGTGGCGTCTGTGTAAAGAAAATGGTTTGACATATTTAAAAATACCGGTTCATTAAACAGGGAAAGTTACAGAATTGTCAGTTTTTGGTGGAAAGCAATATAGATCAGCAACAAATGGTGAAGTGTAATGATGCTATTAGAGTGTAATTGTTCAGTAAATATGTCCCAAAATTGAAACTGATGTAAAAAGTGACCAATGCACAGTTGACTTTAATGAGCTTTTAATCAGGTTATAATGGTGTTGCCCCCATCGTTAGTGTGCTCAAAGTTGTTTTGATTGGTTCATGTATTTTAAAGAAATACTACATAGTTACAATCTATGACACCCGTGGATCATTATGTTATAATTAGCCCATTTTAAAATGCAATATTCATCTAAAATGACTTAATAAAAGAAACAAGTCCACTAACTTCTGTATTAGAAAACCACGGTTCCCATTGGGAGCTCACATCACTGTAAACATCATCATCAAAAAGCTGTGTAGCATTTTGCTCCCTGCAGATCACACTATAGCGCCTAGTGGATTTCCTTTTCTTTTTCACCAAAATGATTATGTGGCAGTGTCTAATCCTACATGTATCACTGATTAAGAAATTAAATTGAGAACAAAGTAAGTACAGCGCACGCGTCTTGAAAATACACAATTAAATATCGCTCTAATAGACCTTTTTCACAACGGCTGGAAGTGCTGCGATGTAGGGTAAACGTCACCCCCGGTTAATGAATTTCTATGGCGAAAATATCAGTGGAAATGTCTCATGTATTTTCCACCAGCTTCATAAATCTGCCCCATCACCAAATCCTCATAACAAAGGACATAAGGTCTGTCCATGAAGAAAGACGAAAACGTAAAGGCGAACAACGACGACGACGCATTAGTGAACTACTCCTGAGCAAAACTAACATTATGGGCATGAATAAAACATAAGTAACTTGTTAACTCAGACTGATTCTACAAATAAAATTAAAAATCGATTTCATGATGTAGATATTGGCATAGACAGAGAGATTTCTGCAATTTAAATGTATCTGTAGCATTCGAACCGTACAAATCTCTTTCTCTATGCTAAATGATCATGAATCATGAAATCCATTAATTTAAATTCTTAAATCAGTCTGAGTTCACAAGTTACTTATTAATGAATTACTTATTACTTATGTTTTATTCGTGACTATGAGGTTAGTTTTGCTCAGGAGTAGTTCACTAATGCACCGTTGCTGTTCGCCTTTACGTTTTCGTCTTTTTTTAGTTGGTTGGTTGGCATTTGGTGGGTGTGTTTGGTTTATTTGGTTGAAGATTTGGTGATGGGGAAGGCTGGAAAGACTTTATTAACACCCGAACATGATATTTAAAAAAAAAAAAAAAAAAAGGTGACAATCCCTGTGCACTGCTACTCAAGTGTTCAAATGTTCTTTTCTTTCTTGTTTTTTACTTTTTATTTTTTTATTTTATTTAAATTTCTTTGTATTTTTAATGGAATAAGGGACAAAAATAAATAAATCAATACTATCAAAGAGAGATAATGTGAAGTGAAAGAGAAAGCAAATTGTTGGACGTATGTGATTTGAAACTGACATTTAACTGTTGATTTGGTGATGGGGCAGATTTATGAAGCTGGTGGAAAATACGTGAGACATTTTGCCGTAGAAAAGCATAAATGTGAGTGACGTTTACTCTACATCGCGGCACTTTCAGGCCGTTGTGAAAAAGGTTTATTGGCACGAATCCCTTCAAATACAACTTCAGGTGTTTAGTTTCAATATTATCATTTATAGTGATGTTTTCTGTTGCAGTATGTTATCGTATTTGGCATAAAACATTGCAAAAAAAAAAAGAAAAAAAGCAGCTGTTTCACTGTTAACCCCTAATTAAGCAGGACTAAGCAGATTAAAACCATTTCACTGCATTTGAACAATTAAGCCTGAGACATCCAATAACGCTATCACTTCTTCTTTGCTTTAAGAATTCACATTTGTTCAGTACATCCGGACCATACGGTATTCAATGGATGAGCTATTTAAGTGATTCCAGGCCGTGATAGCCAAACCCCCGGCATTCCCAGGCAGGAGAGAGGGCACTTCCACCGGAGGGACACACACACCAGGCAGGCACCAGCTGACTCGGGTTTTCAGAAGTATTAAAAATCAGAAACTAGTCCAATTTTAAAACTAGAATCGAAAACTAGATACTCATTTTAGTACAGTCACAAAAAAAATTGCAGTACTATATCACCAAATTTGGTATCACGAGTTATTTCCGATATTTTTGCACACCTCTAGTATTGAATATCGAGTCTGTTCCTTAGTATCGAAATGTTAGTCTAGGGACAACATTACAGCAGACTCGGGCTCCAGCTCGGGGCAGATAAATTGCACAGGCAGTCAGTCCATCCTGCACGGCTCTGCTTATCGGACAGGCCCTTATCTCCGGGGATATGCCCACAGTCATAGAGCCTTATGGGAATGAGCACCTCCAGAGACCACTACAAGGTGATCCAGCCCTCGCCTGGAAATGTGAAGGAAACGAGCCAGTTTTCTCTGCTGATTGCGCTGAAATATCCAAAATGCAAATTCTGAAAAGTTAAACCTGATTTCATTTCTAATTTTGGCTGGACAAAAGAATTTATTATGTTACAAGAAGAATATTTTAGCTGCCCTCCCTCCAGCTGTACTAAAGGGCCCATATTACGCTATTTTCTGATCTACTTAAAGTGTAATGTTGGTTCCTCATCACAAACCTAACTGAATGAAAAAAAAAAAACCCCACAGCTCCAAACTAAATATGCAGGATTTGTGTGTTAAACATGTATGAGTTCTTCTCTTAAACTGAAACACTGTTTTTAAACTCCATACACCTTCACTAGAATCATTTGGATGATTTAAGGCCTGGAATTGCCGATCTCTACTGAACAAAAGATAAATAGTAGCTGTTAACTTCTGCTTCACGACATCACAAGGGGAAACGAAGCATTTGGGCTTTGGCTTTGAACATGTGTGAATGAAGCAAAACACAACTCTGGGTATGTTTTTGAGGAGGCAACAGCTTTATAACATGGCTAAAAGCTCAGAAGAATTTGTTTTGTGTTATAGAATGTTGTCATGTGAAACCCAGCATTAGCTTTGTGTATATTACGCCGGATATACACTGTGCGATATTTTTGATCATTTCACTCAGCCCCAGCTCAAACTGTACGACCAACTCGCAGGGTTTAAAAGTTCAGATTGTGGAACTACTTCAACAGTGTGAAACTCTCACGAGAGGCGACTGAATTTCAAACTGATTTGATATTCTTGTGACATACGATTGCCGATCGGGAGCAGGTCGTGAGGTATTCTTTGTTATCGGTTCTCGTTCCCCCATGTTTACTACACGAAGCATGACGTACGATTAAACCAAAACTCTGTCCGATCCCATAAACAGTCGCACTAGTGAAAAATCAGCTGAAAAAGGGCCAAAAATTGCAGTCTAAGCCCGACTTAAGGCTTTTAAAGATATAATTAAAATCTTCTGCTTCCATTCCAAAACTTGATGCCATTTTGTCTGTACTAAAAGATCAAAATTCAATTAGAAAAAATAAATAAAAATCAAATGCAAATTATTGGTACAATAATTACTAATACACTATAGGACCTTGAAAAATGGAAATGGAAAAGTTGAAGAAATGGAAATGGAAATGTACTTGATATTTTTTTATTTAAATACGCAGTATGCAACTTTTGTGCTGAAGGGTGTGCTGCATGCTTGTCTCCATGGAAATGTTGTTGTTTGCTGGAATATTCCTCAGTACGGCATTACACTTATTGATTTCAAGGATACGAGCTTGCAACACCACCAGGCTAAGTTCAAGTTTAAAGTTCAAAAAAGTTTATTGTCAATTCTTCATGCGAAAAAATATAAATAATCAAAATTGTGGTTCTCACTTCCATGCATATAAATAAATAATAATAATTATAATGTACATGATAACTGCTACAGGTCAGATCTGTGGAGAGGCGGCACCGCTCACAAAAAATGCCTGTTTTTTAAGGTATATACGAACAATTAAACTTTTGTAACTGAGATGGATACGGGGAAACATTTCAGATGAGGCGGCAACATCTCCAAGCAGCCACAAGAAAATTTCCGTAGTGGACCTTTTTAAATGCACATTCTGCCCTTGGCACCTGACCTCCTGCTTGTGTCTTGCAGGTATGAGCTGTTCCAGAAGCATCTGCATCTCCTGGAGGAGGCGGAGGGCGGATTCGAACAGTTCACCCGGAGCTACCAGCGCTTTGGCGTGCAGCGTCTGCCTGACAACAGCTTGTGGTTCAGAGAGTGGGCCCCCGCTGCAGAGGCCCTGTTTCTCACCGGGGACTTCAGTGAGTACAGTACAACAGTATACGAAACTTTAAGGAAACTGCATAAATATTACACTGTTGTAAATCAATTTAAGATTTTTTTTTCCTCTGTGTATATAAGCGAAATGTGTCTTTACTGTTCTTGTTCCTTAATCTTCAGGTAAGACTGTGCACTTAATCAAATTTAAAACAGTCATTCAGTTCAATTACTACTCTATGCATTTACCGTATTTTTCTATAAGGTGCACTTAAAATCCTTAAATTTTCTCAAAAATCGACTGCGTCTTATAATCCGTTGCGCATTACGTATTAATTCTGGTTGTGTTCACTGACCTCGAACCGATTTATGTGATACACGGCACTCAAAAATCTGTCCAAATGTTTTAGTATGACTTTCGTAAACTACGAAGCTGCACCGCTGGATGGATTGTCGGAACATTATGGCTACCGTAGTCAGGAGCCTCGCGGAGTCATACACATTCACCGAGACAGGGAGGCAACGCCGGGCGAGTTACGCCACGATCTGCTGATAGATCGTGGATGCCCGAGCTAAGGGATCAGTCTCAAGTGTCGTCTGCGCTTTCATGAAGGATTGAACCATCGCTGAACAGCTAAGTAACAGCGATGAGTTTGACTCTGATAATAACGAGAGGAATCCGGGCGTGCTTGATGCCGAAATCACCCAATAAATTAAAGTTTGACTTTTGTTTAATGCTCCTTCATAATCTTGTGCGTCTTATGACAACATTATTGATATTATCCCTCAAAATCCAGGCCGCCTTATAGTCCAAAAAATATGGTACATAAATGTAATCAAAAATACAACTTCTGTCTGTGCAGGAAAAAGTGTGCTCATTAAAAAAGTAAAAACGCTTTTCTAATCTACATACCCTTTTAAAACTTCAATGTCCCAAAACATTTTCTAGTATAATATACTGGGTCTACTTTCTCTACAGATTGATTGTTTGAAAATAATTCAGCTTTTGCAGTCAAAATAAGTCTTCTGCATACTATCTGCATCTAATTTATAAACCGCTTTATTATCTTGTAATCAGGAACTGCGTGTTAGCATGGTAGTTGTTAGTTTTACGGTCACAGCAAAGCTCCGCACTGGAATCTGAAAGCTGTGAAAAGCAGGATGTTGCGATGCATAAGGTTTGCACTTCTCCAAACTATTTTAAATGAACTAGTTGTGTTTTTCATGTTTTTAAGACTCTAAAAATCAAGTACAGGACCTTTTTAAATTTTTCTTTTTTTTTTTTTTTAAATGTGGTGATTTCTTATTCCAATTAATCGATAATTTGCAAAAAAGCCCGAAAATATAAATCTATTTTTGACCCAGATGAAGGGGTTCTGTTTGGGGACATCCTGATTATTATACTTACAGACACAACACATTTTTTAAAAACAAGAAACTTACTCCGGTCTCTTTTCAGTTTGTACAACAACAATCTCCTCACAGGGCCTAGTTACATAAGTTTTCCATTTGATAAGACAAAACCGCTCCCGCATCGAGCATCTACCCGACAACCCCACCTGTTCTTTCCCCCCCCCGCTCCTCATTGCAGACTTCAGCGCGTACACTCCCAGACCCGGTATAAGTGTATGAGAGGGAGAGCCAGAGAGACACCGCCGGAGGGCACCTGTCAGCACCTGTCAGCACCTCAGCACCCTGCCCTCGCTCTCATGTCCACCCTGTCTCCCCACAGCTCTGCCTGGGTTAAGAACTCCTGCTCCCACCTCTCCGCTGTACACTGTCAGAAGCAGATATAGGCCAGCGGAAAAACTCAACTATGCCCCTGGTGTATTTTTAGGCGTATGCTGTCATTGCCACTGTGCATAAAGCGGCATTGCATAATAACAAGCTAAAAGACTCAGCTAAAACACTGACAGTTAAAGGGAGCCAAGGAAGTTTGTCACATATAAAGGATGACTCTGGCTCGATCCCTTTTTTTTCATCTGGGCTGGATCAGATTTTTACGCCGTCTTGAAAGCAAACAGACGCGTAACTGTGAGTGGAACGGACAACGAGGGTCACCGGGACACTGTACGTACTCCAGTGGGATTTGAACCAGCGCCGCCATCTCCGCATAAACGCAAAACCCAAATTTGGCCGCGTCTCAGTTCTCCTTTTTCTCGATTCCTCTCCTTGATCCTTCATTTTTCAGCAAGTCGAGGAAACCACAGAGGAAACATGAGGGAGCGTTCAGGAGGAAGACATCAGATCAAATAATAAAACTTTATTTCTCTCACTGAGGAGTTTATATTGTTGCTACAACTTAAGTACAGGGATAGCAGCAAAGGATGTTTGACAGTAAAACTAATAAAATGCTGAATTTCAATAAGTTATGTGATGATCTGACATTGATTTAAAAGTCCTGGAACAGTAATATGATAATAATCCTTAGTATAATCCTCACTGCAGGGTCGTTTTGGTCTCTCTCCACTGCTCCTCTGCTCCTCTACTCCTCTACTCCTCTACTCCTCTACTCCTTTGTCCTCTGCTCCTCTACTCCTCTCCTTCTGTCCTCTGCTCCTCTACTCCTCTACTCCTTCTACTCCTTTGTCCTCTACTCTTCTACTCTTCTTCTCCTCTACTCCTTTGTCCTCTACTCTTCTACTCCTTTCTCTACTCTTCTCTCTCTCTCTACTCCTCTGTCCCTCTACTCTACTCCTCTGCTCCTCTCTACTCTCTTTCTCCCTCTGCTCCTCTACTCCGTCTCTGTCTTCTGCTCCTCTACTCCTTTGTCCTCTACTCCTGTCCTCTGCTCCTCTTGCTCCTCTGCTTCTCTGTCCTCTACTCCTCTACTCCCGTCTTTCTCCTACTTTGTCTCCTCTACTCCTCTACCTCTACTCCTCTGTCCTCTGCTCCTCTTCCTCTGCTCTCTACTCCTTTGTCCTCTACTCCTCTTTGTCCTTCTCTGCTCCTCTACTCTTCTTGCTCCTACTCCTCTACTCCTTTGTCTCTACTCCTTTGTTTCTCTCCTCCTCTGCTCCTCTACTCCTCTGTCTCCTCTACTCCTCTGTCCTCTACTCCTCTCTCCTCTACTCCTCTGTCCTCTTGCTCTCTACTCCTCTGCTCCTCTCTACTCCTTTGTCTCTTCTACTCCTTGTCTCTACTCCTTTGTCCTCTACTCCTCTGTCCTCTGTCCTCTACTCCTCTGCTCCTCTACTCTCTCTTGTCCTTCTGCTCCTCTCTACTCCTCTACTCCTTTTGTCCTCTACTCCTCTGTCCTCTCTCTCCTTCTACTCCTCTACTCCTTTGTCCTCTACTCCTCTGTCCTCTGCTCCTCTACTCCTTTGTCCTCTACTCCTTTGTCCTCTACTCCTCTGTCTCTCTCTCTGCTCCTCTACTCCTCTACTCCTCTTTGTCCTCTACTCCTCTGTCCTCTGCTCCTCTCTCCTCTGCTCCTCTACTCCTCTACTCCTTTGTTCTCTACTCCTTTGTCCTCTACTCCTTTGTTCTCTACTCCTTGTCTCTCTACTCCTTTGTCCTCTACTCCTCTGTCCTCTGCTCCTCTACTCCCTCTGCTCCTCTACTCCTCTGTCCTCTGCTCCTCTACTCCTCTACTCCTCTGTCCTCTACTCCTCCTGTCCTCTGCTCCTCTGCTCCTCTACTCCTCTGTCCTCTACTCCTCTCCTCTACTCCTCTGTCCTCTCTCTGTCCTCTGTCCTCTGCTCCTCTGTCCTCTACTCCTCTGTCCTCTGCTCCTCTGCTCTTATGCTTGCTCCTCTGTCCTCTACTCCTCTACTCCCCTGTCCTCTGCTCTCTACTCGTCTGTCCTCTACTCATCTGTCCTCTGTCCTCTGTCCTCTGCTCTTCTGTCCTGCCTGTGCTCTTCCTGCTCTCTCCTCCCTGTGTCTCCTCTGTGAGTGGGACTTCCTCTTCCTCACCCATTTCCTGCACATTCAAGGAGAGGAATCAAGGAGAAGGAAGTCAAGGATGAGAAATGGGATGCAGCCATTATCGCATGTGGACAAAAAAATGTGAATACTTGCCCAGGGTCCACCGTGTGACGACAGAAACATGCACCATCTGCTCAGCCCTGACCAATCAGAGCAATGGAGGCTATACAGAGCTAGCACTACAATCAGTATTTACTGTATAAAGTGTAAGTCGCACCAGCCAAAAAATGCGTAATGAAGAAGAAGAAAAAAAAAACATATAAGTCGCACTTTTTTAGGGGTAAATTTATTTTAGAAAATCAGAGACCAGGAACCAACATTTCATCTTCAAAGACAAGTTACAGTAATCACATCGTCACATATGAACAGTTCTTCAGATAACTATAGCATAAAGAACAGAACAAGTTTACCAAACTCTCCATCTCACTCCAAATCACTAAATCATTGAATTCTTCATCGTCAGTGTCACTTCTGAGCAGCTCCACGACCTCCAGAGGTAAACCATAGATCCATGAGGTAAACGGAGCGCCACTTCCTCTTCTGTGTAGCTGTCGTCAGACTCAGCATCAGTTCCAGTTAGAATTATTCCGGCCTTTCTGAATCCTGACAGGATCGTTTCAGTTGTAACTGAAGTCCAGGCTTTGTCAATCCATCCAGTGACTTCCAGGAAAGTTGCATGGTGCATCCTTCCGGTTGTCACAAGTTTCTCACTCACTCCAAACTTTCTTTCTGCTGCTCGATTACCGTTTCCGGCTACAAATTTCACTACTTACAGCTTGTAATCTGCAAAATATGATTTTCTTTTTGGGGGCATTTGTGCTCAGTCTTCTCAGTTGTCTTTATAAGTTTATTTAAGTTAAAATTTTTAGTGGTAATGGTGCCATCGACTGACGTGATACAGACAGGACAGAGGCTCTTTCTCAGGAGACAGCTGTCAGTGTGAAAATTGTTAAATATAAGTTAGGGATGGGCATTCGATGAAATTTTCTTAATTGATCGTCGGAAGAATTAAGGATCGATTATCGATTAATCATTAATGTTTTTATATTAAAATGATCATCATTATTATTACTATCTGCACTACTAATCTGCATAAATAAATTCAACTTTACGAC